GAAAATGGTAAAGGAAAAACAGAACAGAGAAGAAAATGGGAATTTTTAATGCTAGATAATATGACAGCCGCGTAAGAAACACTTGATGACACTTAAGCTGGGGTATTATGATTTTTAAGCAGCCACAGTGCGGCATTAAGTTCTAAAAATGTGGTTAAAACTTCATTTTACTGTGCTTTTTCTTCTCATGTTTATTGAAATTTAAACGAGGAGGAGAGGAGATTTCCAACCTCCGCGAAACAGTAATTTATTTCATAAACCAGCCTTTGAAGCAATAAGTAATAAGCGTCACAAAGAAACCTCACCTATTTGTTTCGCCTTTTTGCGGTAATTTCCTTAATCAAATGCGGCTAGATATTGATAGTGCGATATCGGATTGATATACTTTGCCCTGCCTAAGGTTAAGTCATACGGCCTGTATACATATATGGCTGATACGGGCCTTTGGCGAGCGATAAGCCGCATACAATTGTCATAAAAAATATGTTTTACGGCATTTCTTTGGGCCCAGAGTATTTGTGGTATCAAAAGCCCCCTTTCACCTGGAACTGGTTGCTGAGCAATCCTAATGGGTTCTGATTTTGAAAATCAAACAATTTTATTGTCGCCATCGTCGATGTTGCTGTTGTTGCTTTATGGTTGCCATTGCCATGTGGTGGAGGCCTTGTGTGAAGTTTTATTTATTTATTTTTTTTTTTTTGAGGGAACTGCCTGGCTTTCGGACTTTCGTTCGTCGGCTAATACCTTGCTCAAATATTTACAATTACTTTACATAAATCGCCGCCGTCGTTTTGTCACCACTAAGCTCAAAAAAAAAGGTGGGCCATAACACTTGCTAAATTCCTCGGGCTTTCAGGCAATAATACCCAAAAATTGTGACAAATAAAAAGGTTGATTAGCTCGACTTTTAAGGTCAGATATAAATATTTACCTACTGAAATGTGCTTTTTATAAAACAACGACTTAAGATTCCTAATTGCTTAAATGAAAAACCATTTTGTATGCTCTTTGATCTTTAGTGCAAATAAAAAATATTGTTTCAGTGGTGTAAGCTAGGTATGCACACATAAATATTGGCATAAAAACCTGTAAATACAAGAAAAGGCATCTCTGTTTATAGAGGCAACTAACTAATAGTGAATGTGCTGGCAGTCGCATGATGGTTATCTGTGAAACACCAACCCAGTGGGGCGCACTTTCAATTAATTTACTTGTAATTGTCGCTTGACGAGCACTTTGTCGGCACTCGAACGCAACGCCCACTCGACAAACAGGCAAACATGGAGACAAACAAACAAACAAACCGGCAAACTGACACACGATAAACTGACAAGCTGAAGAGAAATGCACTTTTGGTGTTCAGTCTCGATCTTGGACATGTCACTGGAAAATGGAAACTAAAACCGACCTTCTCGGTTGGGTTTTTCTTTGTTTATTTGATCTATTTGGCAGCCCTGCGCTCCACGGTGCGTATGTGTGCTTTTCCTATCGCCTGTTGATAAGGAAAAAACATTCGTAGTCACCCAAAGGCCACCCCAACTCAAAATGCTTTCCATCATCACTTGAAAAACTCAGAAACAAGTCGAAACATATAAAAACATATTAAAATAAAACTTGAGTGATGAAAGAAAGTGTTCAAGAAAGATAGAGTATAAGCTAATCTAGCTAAAATTTGAATATCAACAACAATAGAAAATTTTTCAATGGAAATGGTTTAACAGTCTTCTTAAATTTGCAATAGCAGAAACATGTGTGGAAGCACAGCAATAAACATGAGATAATCTGTGCAGCTTTTCTCCACCCAGGATATGTACTTCCCATTTCGAAGGCCCCCAAAATAAACTTCCCATCCCAGAGAGATTTCGCTTTGGATCTCCAGTACTTAGCTATCGGTTCCGAACATTATGTAAATATACCCATATAGCAGAGTCTGTAGCTTTTGATGCTTTTTATTGCCGCTTGATGTGGCTGCCGTTGGAATCTTTTTGATTTCTGTATATTTTCCAGACGCTTTGATCTGTTTAACGTGCTTCCGATTCAATTTGTTCGGTGTTTTCCTATTTTTTTTCTTGTAGGCAGCAGGGCTGCTTTCGTTTTTATTGCCACTTGAGGCTTGGCCGGGTTTCGTTCATTGTCTTCTTTCGTCTAAACAACAGGAAAAAATGAAAGAAAACCATGAAAACCCAGTCCCACATCAGACAATGCATTTTTTTCCAGCGCCACGATAAAACAAAGTAGGCGGCAACGCGCTCGCAAACGCCCCACAAAAAAAGAAAAAATAAAACCCAAATCCTAAGAAAGAGGGAATATCCAAAACTGCAGTCAGATAAAAAGTCAGTAAAAAGTCTGTGGTCAGTAGCTCCTGTCGCCAGTTTCCTACAAATGCCAGTGCTGCCGGGAACAAAGTACCTTATATTAAATAAATATTACAAAAAAAATTATTTTAATCAACAAAATCAACAATTTATGCAACTTGAATTCGATCATAAAAAATTTGTTATTTGTTATTGATACTTTCGGTTTGTTTGTCATCTATAATAGAAAATTTTGGTATATGTTAGTGATTTAATTGTAATGATTTAAAAGCATGGCCTTATTTTAATCGTCATTAAACAGCCAGATTGGTCAGAAAAATAGCTGAGCCTGTCATCTCCGATGTCTGCACTTAGCATCGACATCGAAAACAACAACAAAAGCGGCAGCACCGCGTCATCGACATCGACATTTGCCTTTTTTCCATCCAAAAGCGGGCATGGGCATGAAATGCAAGATACGCTCAAAGGAAACCGAAGTCCAAACGAAAGGTGTTAATGGACTCGACGGTGCACACAGATACACAGATACATAGATACATAGATACACAGATCCACAGATGCACAGCTTCTATTCGAACTGAGCCGAAAAACTCAAAGACGAAACACGCAGGAAAATTGGGATGGCAATGATCAGTTCAGTAGTTTCAATATTTAAGTTGCTCAGCTCTTAATAACTAGATTTAATGTTAAGATCATTTAGTTCCTAAGTATTTTTTTTAACGAACAAACGTTGTATATTCATTTTGCATATTAGATATATTCCATTAGTTTTCCCAGTGTATTTATTTTTCAGCGGCAGCTCTTTCTTCTTGCCCATTTGTTCCTTTCTCTCTTTGTCGCCGGCACAATCGCACAGGTCTCCCTGGCTAACTAACATCTTTTGTGGCTCTTTTCGAGATCTCCACTAAATGGCCTGTCTATTCTGCCGCCTTTTCCCTCGGCAGCTCTTTTCACGCACTCAGCGTACTCAGCGATTTTCATGGGCCATTTTCAGGGTAAATTATGGACCGAGATGACCTCAAATGTTTTTTAGCCGCAGCGATTTTGGCCATGCCACAGCGGAGAATATTTCATAACTAATTGAAGCCTTTCTCTGAGTTTTTATGATTTCTTTTGTGCCAAAAAGAGAAACACGAATTTAAAAATTTGTTTTGCCTATTTTGAACTACATATTCTAAACACCTATTATTTGACAGCAACTAAGACAACTTCTTCATTAATTGAAAAGCAATTAAATGTCGCTTCCTCGACTTCTTTCGAGTGATAACAGTGCGCTGTGTTTGTCTGTCAGTCTGGTTTCCACCTTTATCTAGATATATAGTATGTAGCTCTCAAGTCGGGGAACCTTTTGCTTTTTTCTTTTTTTGTGCCGCTCTGTCTTGTTCCCAGAGCGTTGCTAATGGAAATGAAACCCCCGAAAAATACAGAAAAAAATACAATCAGAGCAGCGGGAGGCACACACAAATGGGAAACGAGTGTTTTGATAGCGAACCTAAAACGGAAAAGTATAGCTGGAGTTTCAGATCGTGAACTTATGAATGCAAACCATATTTCATAAATTAAAAATTTCCATAATGCTCTGATTTCGAAAGCGACGAAAGTGACCCTGATTAGATTATGGGTTGTGAAATGTTTGAAATCATTGGAAAGATAAATTGTGAAAAATGAATATTGGATTACCATAAGACTGCATATTTTGTTTTAATATTCAAAATTAAATGGGAAAAACTCGAAGAGAAAAAACTCAAAGCTCATAATAAGTGTTTCAATTATTTCAGTGCGTCTACTTTCACTCGTAAATTCAAATACAATTACCCCCGACAAATACAAATATTTATCTAAACAGAGCATTTGAAATCTTAAAATGTCTTCTATCTTGCTTGCATTTTTAAACATATTTATTTATTATTTACTTGTTTCCCTCCGCGGCTTTGTGTTTATCTTCTCCGCGACAACAACAAAAATTAAAAGCCAACAGCAAACAGTTTATGAGTGTGGGTTGAGGGGGCGGAAGAGCCCCACTTTGATGAGCTGCCGCCCTCCAAAAACCCCCTCCACTCCGCCCCCCTCCAAAACACAGCCCCACGTACTCGTCATTCACAATTTCGAATATTTCGCAAGAGTTTGTGACTTCTCAAAAGCATTTTGCTTGTTGCCTTTGTTTTCATCTGCTGTGATTGTTCGCAATACTCTTTTAATGGGTATTTCAATTTTGAAGAGAGGTTTGCTAGGGCAAATATTTATATTTGTCTTAAAAAACACTCTTTCTGTGTCCGTTTTACACTTTTTATGGTTCTGATTCTATATTCATAGATCTACAAGGCTGCTATGTCAACATCAGTTCATAAAGAAATATCCATTTGTTGTGAATGTATTTTTATAACCCTTTTCAGTTTTGATAGTTTAAATATATATTTTAAATATTTATGTACGTTGTTTTTAAGCTAGCAACAATTAACTTCAATGAAATTTGAAATGCTTACTAGTGGCTGACCTCTATTGCCTGCCCCTTCATGTTTATTTCCATTTTTAGTCGCTGTTTGTATTTTTTAAAACTTTGTTTTTCGCACGTAAGCAACGACGAGCCATAGCCACACAAAAGCCGGGCTTATCAACAACGTGGGATCGCGGACAAACGGGGACTAGCCTGCTTTTTGGCCAACAGCTTTTATAGTCATGGCTTACCTGGAGTTCAGCCTCCAGCTGATTGGTGTGACCCGCCAGGTTGGGCAATGCGGTCATGTTGTAGCCGAGACCTTGGCAGGCGGAAACGGCGATCCGCTGGCACTGTAATCCATTCGAGCCGGCTGCCACCGGGCCATTCAGGCCATTCTGGCCAGGACTGCTAGCCGCCGACGACGACCTGCTGGCCAGGGCCAAAGTCAGGAGCAGGATCTGGCTGGCTTGCATTTTCATTGGGCCTGGTGATACTCGATAGGTCACTCAGGGGCCATCATGGGGAGGCGGGTTTCTATTCAATTACCACTCGCGAGCACGTGAAAAAAATGGTCTGGATTGTTCGTCGATTATTTCGACTTCAGGCAGTTTACGTATTTCTCTAGTTTCTGAAGAACTCGCGCAGAGAACTACAAACGACCGTTCGTCTTGGGTCTTTCGAACAAACTATCGACTCTCGGTCGCAAGTCGTTGGGTTTTGTCCGTTCGAAGTGCCTCGAACATGTTCGATTGCCGCCTTGCAACATGTTCAATGTTCAACGTATCTGTGTATCCCATCGGAGGTCCCGGTTCCACTGCCTAATGAAGACAAATAAATTTACCGTTTTATGTCCACTGCGACGGAAGTGAAATTAAACTCGGGAGGCCGATAGATGGACTCTCTATTGGTCTGGGTTGCGGAACAGGATGATATATGGTTATAGGCTAGGTCTTGGGCTCAGCAGAAAAATACACGATGTATTGTATATTCAAGCAATCTTTTTATTATCGACTTTGCTTCGGGAAATGGAAATGTATCCAAAGGATCTGACAAGTAACCATCATTTCCCAGATTTTAATAGGGATTGTGATGTGTATGTATAGGCTTTGCATGATTGGTTTCACACCAGATTTTAGTCAGATTTTAGGATTAGAAAGCATAGTTCAAACATTGTTTTTCTTAGTGATTTAATCAGAAATTTAATAAATTTGCATAATAGATTTGCAAATAAATCTTGACATAGTTTTAATTTTTATACAATTATGTTAAGCTTTGTAAATTATAAAGAGTAACTTTAACAGTTGAAAAACATAAGTAAAGTTCATGTATCTTTTGTTTTGTGGACCACCGACTAAGATGGTTCCGCCAGATCGATGGCCCCGCATCAAGTTTTGTCCGGACCGGGGAATCCACACCGGGACAAGCGAAGGAGATGGAAGCTGTTTCTCCGAGATGAATCAGTGGCCGGCAGGTGAGTTAGGTTCCCCGTGGGTGACTGCCATGCCATCCAACCTGGAGCGTCGATCGGTTCGACACACACCGCACATGCACAGAAAAATAAAATATTTATTCGGAATTTCACAAAAATATTGAATATATTTATTTATTTTTAAAATCCAAGTCCAGTAGCTAAGGTTATGAATTGAAAGTTAGTTAAAGAATTAAACAACTAACTTTTAAATTAAGTTATAGTAATGTTTTGGGTCACCTTCCTAAATAAACGAATATTAAACAAGGTCATGGACAATATTTGTAAAGTAGATATGTATATTTTAATGCAGAAAATTAAGCAAGAAACTATTTAAGATGTGAATTTTTTTAAATCGGAATCCAATTGGACAATTAGCCTTTTTGGGTTACAAAATACCAATCATAAAAATGCATGTTAATACAATTAATAAGAAATAAATGTTTTGAAGCAACTAGGTCTAACATTAGATCCGGTTTTATTCTGAGCGGTGGATTGTCCCAGCTGCCCTTTTTTTTCTGAGTGTAAAGGTGAGGAAACTCGATCGGCAACGTCGACCAACCGCAACAGCAACATCAACATCAAACAGAACTGAAAGGGGGTGGTTGCAGGGGGGTGGGGCTGGCAGGAGGATGAGGTGGATGCAATTGAACACCGCGACCTCCACACACTGCAAATGTCGGCGTCGGCGATCTTTGATGTGTGCTTTGATTTCCGGCAGCCAGATAAGATTTTGCCCCTCCCCTGGGCTTCCCCCTTTGGCCACCCCCCTCGGCCCCCCGTTTGGCCCTCTTTTACCGCTTTTCCCGAGTGCCGCGGAAAAAAAAATCGCAGATCAAAACGAATTGCAGCAAATTTTGTTATGGATCTTGGATCTTCGGTTTTTAGGACGTTGAAGGCGGGCCGAAGAGTAAGTCTATGGCATTAGATCGGATAGGCAACCACCTGTTCTATCTCAATTTTGCCTTCCACTGAGTAAGTAAATAAAAAATATCATCATACCTTCTTAGCTATAAATATATATATATTTATTGATATTGATATTGATTCATAATGATTTCATGCTTGTTTCACATGATTCTAATATCAATATTAACAAGAAAGGAAAGCTAACTTCGGGCGGAGCCGAAGTTGATATACCCTTGCAGAATATTCTATAAATTATATTCTCCAAAATTATTCATATGATGCATACTTTAAAAACACCAAAGTTATGTCATTTCCAATCGTTCAGTTATATGGCAGCTATAAGATATAGTCGGCCGATCCTTATGAAATTTGGTAGGTCGGATTGATTAACCAAATATAAAATCCATAGAAGATCCCAGCCTCCTAACTTTACAAACACCAATGTTATGGCATTTCCGATCAATCAGTTATATGGCAGCTATAGGATATAGTCGTCCGATCCTTATGAAATTTGGTAGGTCGGATTTATTAGCCAAAAATAAAACCCATAGAAAATCCCAACTTCCTAACTTTAAAAACACCAAAGTTATGGCATTTCCGATCGTTCAGTTATATGGCAGCTATATGATAAAGTGGCCCGATCCGGCTCGTTCCGACTTATATACTACCTGCAATAGAAAGACAACTTTTGGGAAAGTTTCAAGCAGATAGCTTTAAAACTGAGGGACTAGTTTGCGTAGAAACGGACGGACAGACGGACAGACGGACAGACGGACAGACGGACAGACGGACAGACGGACGGACAGACGGACATGGCTAGATCGACTCTCCTGGTGATGCTGATCAAGAATATATATACTTTATAGGGTCGGAAATGTCTCCTTCACTGCGTTGCAAACTCTTGACTGAAATTATAATACCCTCTGCAAGGGTATAATAAATATCTTTCACTTTAAGATATTTATTGATATTGATATTTAATCATGATATGTATATTATTGTTTTATTAAAATGCTTTTCATAAAATACCCAATAATAATAGTCTACATTTTTCTTTCCACTAAGTAAGAAAATTTAAAATATTTTCATGCCTTTCTAGCTGTAAATATAAATATTTTTTATTTCATGATTTATGACTATTGTTTTATTAAAATGCTTTTCACAAAGCCCTTCGTAATACCCAATAGTAATAACACTACAACCACTTGGCGATCCCAGATCTCTCAATTGTCATCGCAGCTAATCCCCCGTGTAAGTACTACCCGAAAACGGGGAAAGAGACAGGATGATGGAGTGGAAGTGAGAGGGAAGAGCAGGCCGCTTTGTTTGATTGTTTTTGTGCTGTTGATTCTCGAAATCCGCCAGTTGTTTGAACTTGGATGCGCTCGTAAAAATATCATCAAAGAGATCGATCTGAAAATGGAATGGGAATGGGAATGGATCGGACTCGAGGTAGAATAGCTAATGTAAGCACTTGCACTTGGCCTCATCCTCCTTTGTTTACCCAATATTCTTTCCCCATTCGGGCTTATGTGTTTTTGTTTGGTGCTCAAGAGTGTTTCTGTTAAGTGCCCCGATCGCAGAACACCCCTCTCCTTGAGTGAGGATCACCTGGGATCGGAGGAGATTAGTCCAATTGTGGTAATGTGGTGCCTCTTGTTGGCGGGGATTGTCGCCATCCGTGGAGATCCCTTGAACCGGATATAGGAAACGATCATAAACGGCAGTCATGGATGGTGATTATCAGCTCATTTCCAGGAGAATTATAGGGTTGTGGGAAAAAGTGATGGCTCTGAAGTATACATCATATCTGCCAATTATTAACATTAAAATAATTATATTTCCTTTCGTTAGGAAATGAATTTTCAATTGATATATTAATTGCATTACTTAAATAGTGACTGGTTTTATGTCCTGTAATTTAGGTGACACTTTGAATCATTTTCCCGACTTCAAAGCGGTGCCGCTCAAAGAGGATTTGCTCAGCCGTTAAGCGCTGTCAACATGGAAAACGATCATATTTTCCACGCCATCTCCTTTTTGCCATTTTTTCATTTTCCATTTTCCATCTGCCATTACCATTTACCATTTGGTTTTCCCAGCGATCGGCTGACTTTGATTTGTTTGTGCTTTTCGCCGATGTTTGACAAAGATGTGAGGGTATGGGTATATGCGATCCGGTGGTCGGGATGTCCGACATGAGTCACCACCCACAGCCTACAGCCCACAGCCCACAAGCGCGTATCTCACAGATACACAGATACGCGAATACCCAAATATCTGCCAGTGTGCCAGCAACTAGTTTTCTGGTCGGCCGAGTTCAAAAGCGCTTATTAATCTCTGGTACTTGTGTTTAGTACTTTTAAATACGTTTTGAGTACTTTATTCAGTATGCTTGATGTTTTGCCGCCGCTCCAAGTCACGATGTTTGCTCTGCTCTTCCCCCGTTTTGCTTCTCCTTTCTGCTGTTTGCTGTTTGCTTTTTGCTTTTTGCTTTTCGCCTTTTGCTCTTGCTTTTTGCTCTTGCGAATTGGACGCGCGTCAATATTTATTTTATTTATCTTCTCGGTCGCCCAGCTCACGGATATTCAAGGTAGGAAGGATGGGGGGGAAATTCAAGTGGGGGGAAAGGTAGTACAGAGAAAAAATTTGATACAGAAATTGTGCTAGTACTGTGTTATATTCACCATGACATTTTTATATATTTTAACATGACATATTAAAATAGTTTATTCAATAGAATCAATTTATTCCTAAATGACAATTTATATATGACAACCATTGTATTATGTAAGCCATGATTATATCCAATTTATGTGATTAAATAAAATTCAAATTTACAATAAAGGTATTTCAATTTTCTTTGCCAATACCCAATTCACATATTGTAATTACACACTGGTTTTTCTCCGTGGGGGAAAATACAGGGAAAAGGGGGCGGCTGGCGGGTCAGTGGATTTGGCGCCCGCCTGCAATTCAATCCGCCCGACGACTCCCAGCGGGACTCCTCTTGGCCAATTCTTTTCTTGCTTATTTTGTTTCTCTGGCAGAAGCCATAGGAATAATGCGATAATTACAATGCCGAGAATCATTCGTTGGGGACACCGTGTGAATTACCGCGGCTCAGACTAAAGGAATCTAAAGTTACTCCAAAATCGAGGGAAGGGGCCGCAAAATGGGGGTAAGGCCTGCACTGCCTACCAAAGAGTTACATGGGATTATCCTGCTTCTTCAGTTTCACCAGCCACATAAATCTCCCATTCGAAAGTGGCGACAACAATGTGATGAGTACATAC